AATATTTCCAAACTATTCCAAAATACTGAATAGGATCAAGTTCTGCAAAACTCTTTTTATGAGGCCAGCTTCACTGTGATACAAAAACTGAACAAAATTTTTACACAACACAAAAAGAAAACTAAAGACCTATACCCTTGATGGGCATAGATGCAAAGATTCTTAACAAAATACTAGCATATCTAATCCAAAATCACATCGAAAAGATCATACATCACAATAAACAGGAATTTATCCCAGAGATGCAAGGGTGGTTCAATATTCACAAATCATAAATGACATCAACAGAATAAAGAAAAAACCATACATCAATAGGATGTGGAGAAAACATGGTACAATTCAACACCCTTCATGTTGGAAAAAAAAACCCTCCACAAATTAGGTATAGAAGGAACACATCTCAAAACTATAAAGGTTATACATAATAAACAGCCAATATCACATTTAATGTGGAAATGCTAAAAGTATTTCACCTCAGATATGGAAAAAGGCAAAGATGTCCACTTTCATGATTCTTACTCAACACAGTACTAGAAGTATTAGCAAGAGAAATTCAGGAGGAAAAAAATAAAGGGTATAAAATTGGAAAAGAAGTTCAAATATGTATGTAATTCAGTAAAGTTACAGGTTACAAAATAAGCATACAAAAAGTAATCTATTTTATATACTAGTGATAAACTCACTGAGAGAGAAATCAAGAAACGAATCCCATTCTTAACAGCCACAACAAAATAAATATTCAGAAATAATTTAATCAAATAAGTAAAGCTCTCTACAATGAAAAATTATAAAACATTGACTAAAGAAATCAGCAAAGATACAAAAAAATGGATATATATTCCTTGCTCGTGGATTGGAAGTATCAATATCATTAAAATGTCTATACTACTTAATTTACAGATTCAGTACAATGACAATCTAAATACCAACAACATTCTTTACAGAATTAGAAAAAAATCCTTAAACTCATTGGAATCACAAAATATCCAAAGAGATCCTTACCAAAAAAAAAAAAAAATCAAGCTGGAAGCATCACAATATCTGACTTCAAAGCATACCTCAAAGCTATAGTAATTAAAACAGAACAGTACCAGCACAAACACCAACACATGGATCAGTGGAACAGAATAGAAAGCTCAGAAATTAATCTACCTACGTAGAGCCAACTGATTTTTGAAAAAGTGCTCAGACCATATATTGAACTAAAGATAATCTCTTCAACAAATGGTGCTAACAAAACTGGATGTATGTATATAGAATGAAGTAAGATCCATACCTCTTAGCATATACAAAAAATCAACTTGAGATGGATTAAAGACATATTTAAAACCTGAGACTATGAATTTGCTAGAAGAAAATGTCGGGAAACACTCCAAGACATTGGTGTAGGGGACAACTTCTTGATGAGACCCCTAAAGCACAGCCAACAAAAGCAGAACTAAACAAATGGCATTATATTAATCTCAAAGTTTCTGCACATCAATAGAGTGAAGAGATATTCAGCAAGCTACTTAACAAAGGATCAATATATACAATATATTAGTAACTTTAAAAACCCAGCAACAACAGCATCAACAAAAACCCAATCAATTCAGTTAAGGAAAAAAAAAAAAAAAAAACCTCAACAGACAGTTCTCAAACTAACAAATACAAATGGACAACAAATATATGAAAAAATGCTCAAAATCACTAGCCATCATGGAAATGCAAATCAAAACCACAATGAGGTATCACTTCATCCCTGACAGGATGGCTAAAATCCAAAAGACAGGGAGTCTGGTGTCTGGTGAGGATGTGGAGAAAGGGGGAAAATTATACACTGTAGATAGGAATGTAAATTGATGCAGCCACTGTTAAACACTATGGCGATTTCTTTAAAAAACTAGCAACAGACTTACCTATAAGCCAGCAACCCCACTTCTGGGTATAGTACCCAAAAGAAATGAACATGTTGTTTCAAAGAGATACCTACACCACCGTGTTCATAGCAGCATTGTTCACAATAGCCAAAGCATGGAATCAACCAAGATACCCATTATCAGATGAACGGATAAAGAAAATGTGGTATATATACATAATAGAATATTAATCAGCTATTAAAAAGTGAAATTCTACCACTTGCAGCAAAATGGATACAACTGGAGTACATTATGTGGAATGAAATGAGCTGGACACAGAAAAACAAACTGCATGTTCTCCCTCATATGTGGGAGCTAAAATTTAAAAAGAAAAACTAAAAAGGAATAGATGCCTGTTTGTATTAGTACTATCACAAATACAGTTTTTGTTATATAACTTTGTCCAAATAATGTTACACTGCTAGTTTTAATGAGCTGTGATTACTTTAAAATTTACCGTGCACAGACAAAATGGTCATCTTTCCATCTGATTTTTTTAATGGCCCTTGCCTATATCCCTGCTAAACTAGGGCCTTTTGCTTTTCTACTTGTTTAACTCATTATTTAGTGGAGCATTAAGTCCTTGACTGCAATGTAAATTAAAAATATGTTATCTCAAAAACTAAGAAAAAGGTAAGAAGGAAGGAACGCTGGGAGGAAGGAAGGGAGGGATGGGGAAGGCAAGAGGAAAGAAATATTACTATATTCTTAGAATTTTATCTATGAACTATATTGAATCTGTTAAAAACTAAAAAACTAAATAAAAAAAATTTAAGAAAACAAAATGCCTGGGACCAAAAAAAGAAAGAAAGTAAAAGTCTTTGCATGGACTATTGTCTACAGATCTTGTCTATATTCTCTGTTGAACACTATGGTTAGTAGTGCATTAAGCCTGTGATGATAAAGTACATTTAAGGTATGTTATTGCAACTATGAAAAGGGAAGGAGAGGGGAGGGGAGGGGAGGGAAGAAGGATGTACGGAAGGAGGTATAGGTATGGTTATGTTCTTTGAATTTCTAGGAAATAATAAAATTTGTCTTTCAGGCCGGCGCCGCGGCTCAATAGGCTAATCCTCCACCTGCGGCACCAGGACACGGGGTTCTAGTGCCGGTCGGGGCGCCGGATCCTGTCCCGGTCGCTCCTCTTCCTGTACAGCTCTCTGCTGTGGCCCGGGAGTGCCCAAGTCCTTGGGCCCTACACCCGCATGGGAGACCAGGAGAAGCACCTGGCTCCTGACTTCGGATTAGCATGGTACGCTGGCCGCAGCAGCCATTGAGGGGTGAACCAACGGAAAAGGAAGATCTTTCTCTCTGTCTCTCTCTAACTGTCCACTCTGCCTGTCAAAAAAAAAATTGTCTTTCAATTCTTTACTTATATAAGGTGAATAAATTTCATGGGTTTCAAATACACAGTTTTAGGAGCATACTTGCCACCCTACTCTCCCTCCAGTCCACCTACCCACCCTCCCTCCTCCATCTTTTCTTATTCTCTCTTCTAATTTTAAAATGACATACTTTCAGTTAATTTTATAATCATAAGCTTAACCCTCTATAAGTATTCAATAGATAGTAATAAAAAAGCAACTTTTAAAAAATTTAAACCAAATAAGCTTAACTTTTAATTTCAATTCTAAAACTAAATAAGAAATATGTATATATTACTCTATTTCCATGAAGTTATTTACTACAATTTCCTTCAGATCTCTAGAAAGAGTAACCTGTCTGCTCTGTCCAGCCCTGCCTCAGGGGTGTGTGCCCAGTTCCAGCCTGGTCTTCCCTGTTCCTCTGCATTTAATCTTTCTAGATGTCATCATGCCACAGGAAGTGACACCAGCAGGCTCCTCACTTCTGTTCATTAAGCAATATTTAACCGTCTGCCAGAATACATACTGATTTTTCAGAAAAAGGCAATTTCCTCCTATCTCTTTTTTGTCACTGGCCCAAGAATTTGTCCAACTATCAACACATTTTCACCCTAGTGACTTCACTCAATTCTAGAGGTCTTAACCTCTAGAGTTGAGATGATGGTATAGATTGTTTTGACTTTTTGTTAAGAAGAATGCAGATAAAGAGAGAACTAAATCTCTTCACATAGTATAAACTTCTGAGCAATGCAGAACTCACAAGTTGTGGCCACATGCACAATGGAGTAAAGAGGGAAATCTATACATGTAAACAAGGAACAGAAACAGGGCACAAAGTGCTGGTCTGAAAACCAAACCTTGACTCCCATGCCACCCAGGGTTGCCTTCCTCCCCCTGGGGGTTACTAGAGAGTTCTCAGATCTGTAATGAATTCCTATGAGTAGCTGCAGCTTCGAAAATGCCATACCTAAGAGGAGTGTGCAGTACCCAGTTGCTCATTTGGGTCTGCAGCTCTGGAAAGAGATACAGAGTCAGGAACACAGAACCTCCCAATGTTTTTAAAAATAAATGACTATGGCTAGGGTTGTGGCAAGTGGATTAAACTGCCACCTGTGACACTGGTATAGCACTGGCATCCCATATCAGAGTGCCAATATGAGTCCCAGCTACTCCACTTGTAATCTAGATTCCTGCTAATGCATCTGGGAAAGCAGCAGAAAACGGCCAAATGCTTGGGCCCCTGTCACCCACAGGGGAGACCTGGATGGAGTGCCAGGCTCCTGAATTCAGCCTGTCCCAGTCCTGGCGATTGCAGCATTTGGGGAGTGAACCTGAAGACCTCTTTGTCAACCTCAATCTCTCTCGCTTTCACTCTCGCTCTTGCTTTCTCACTCTCCAGCACTCTGCCTTTCAAATAAAATAAATCTTTTAAAAAAAATAAGTGACCATTGAGCATGAGTGCTGCTTCTCTGGGTGCTCGTGTATGTTCTTCCACCACCTACCTAGTCACCAACTCACAAATTATCCACCGTGTTGAATACCAATAACCACCAAGTAATGACAGTGCATTTGTTTGTGACAGACTTTCTCCCTCATGTAGAGGTGCTGGGCAACTGTCTACAAATGGCTTAGTTCCTGACAGGCCTGCTATTCAGATAACTGCTCCTCAGATAACTTTCCCTTTGGAAATCCCCAAAGTTTTCTCTTTCCTTTGCAGGTCTGGGACACAGATCCCCACCTGAAATCCATGAATCACTCTGAAAGTCCTCTGTCATGAAGTACACGGTTTCAGAAAAACAGATGGTTCCACTATGTGAATGGCCTCCACCTAAAAAAAAAAAAAAAAAAAAAGAATTGTCTTAAGTCCTGGAACTAGGACACCCACATTTCTCATAACACAAAATAGAATTATTCCACTTTGCCTCCATCTGGTTTTCATAAATAGTAATGATTGAGAAATAGAGGAAGAGATGAGAAAATGGGAAACTAAATGTATCTTCTACCCATTCCCCTCCAGAGGACTAGAGTATTATCCTACTCTCTTTCCCATAACAAAGAACGCATCCCTCAATCCCCACTGCACTGAGAAAGAAGAAATTACAGCACTCCCACTCCCACCACAGAATCTAAATGTTTTTAACCTCTCTATATTAACTGAAAAATAATGAAAATCAAATAAAAATAATATTTTTAAAATAATTTGTTTTCTGAGTTACACAAAGTCAAAAAATTATCAATGGTATAGACTAGGTGAAAGACTCTCAAATTTCCTATTTTATAAACTTTGGTTTTTATTTTATTTTGTTAATCCATAATACACAGTTTTTCTACTTTTGGCTATGAAATAAATATAAGAAGAGGCCTTAAGCTGCTCTTTATATAAAGTTAGTTATGAGATCTAGAATAACATATTATGTTACTACAGATTAATATAGAATAAATCATTCAATGTGAATAACTATTCATCAAGAAATTATGCAGGGTTTTTCCCACACTGGTATATGCCATACTGAGTTGCTAGAATGTAATGTTCATTTTATTAATTGAGCAAAAAGAAAAGCAGCACTAGACCTCGCCAGTGCAAAGTTTTTCACTAATAAGATGTAAACAGAATCTTAGATAAAGAAGAATTATAAGGTTTTTAAGATTTAAACATCTTTTGAAAACACTTCAAAGTAAACCTAATGATTTTTAACAACGGCCAAGTGGAGGGATACTGTTGTGAGCACCAGGCCTTAGAATCTAAGTCATTAGCAACAGAAAAATTATAAATCTAAGTGAAGTTCCTTCCTAGATCCACTAGACATGAATCTAAAATGCTGCCAAGAAAAACATTTCTCATTCACAGCGCTGAAAAAGAGTCCTTCCTATGGACATGAGAGGAAGTCATTTGCCAGATGTTGCTGTTTATTTTACAAGTCTCTCTCTGACTTGTGCTTATTTTCTCTTGACCTCCCCAACTTCTCCCATATACACCACATGGAGAAAAACCAAAGCTCTGTAAACCTTGCTGGAGAAGTATGCAGTGATTGCAATCAATACATCAGTCTCAACATGTGTTCTTGTTTATGAATCCAATCTAATTGCTGATGGAGATTGAATGATTAGGCCTCCCCCATCCAATGCTATCTGGACATCCATCAGTAAAACCATGTATTTTACAACTTGGCATCATGAAGCACATCTATGATGGAAACTTTCTCTTTAATGATAACAAGCCAATTAATGATAAATCGAGATAAATAAAATAAAAGGAAATCAAACCAAAAAGAAGTGTGTTATTTTTTTAAAGTCATCCAAAGTCCTTAGATCTCCCCAAAGATCACACAGTAGAATGTCAGAGGTTCCACTTTACCAAACAGGATAGAAAGGAATGTCCCTATAAGTCTTGTTATCCCCTTCCAGACAGAATCAAGCTGGCTGATTCAGCAATAAGGTTTTGATTCTTCAACATTATATCACATACACTTTGCTAAGCCTTCCACACCTCCTTGCCTTGTTGTCCAAAGCCAAATTAGTTTTGTTGTAGGTCCTGCCTCTGCAGCTGTGTCCAGATTTTGCCATCACAGGCTGTTGTGATTCCCATGGTCTTATATCACTTGCTATCTTCTGGGTTCATCCAAAAAGTAGAAGCTGAGAAGACAGGGGCAGATGATAGGGTGAAGGAAATAGAGAAAGCCAAGTCAGAGTCCAGTCAGTTGCAAATGAGCTCAGTGGAGCTGAGTTCGTCAAGGGTTACATCAAGAAACTCAAGGGGCTTGGATTTAAATAATTTTAAGTATATTTGAGAAAATTTTAAATTTAGATAAAAATACAGTTACAACCCTATATATCATCCCTAAAGCACATCCTAACACAGAGAGAATGGCCCTGGGTGGTTGGTAAGTGTTCAATGGTCAATGAATGAATCAAAGAAAGATTGAGCAAAGATATTCTCATTATATCTTTGTTAACAAATCCAACTATTACACTGTTTATCAGGGCTTGAACCCTCCCAAATTTTTGGAAAAACTTCTCTCTTAGAATTCAGCAAAAAGTGGTCTCCATGCAATTGCATACCACCAGTATTCTTTGTACCCTATTCACATAATTGACCTAACGTTGGAAATATCTAATGCTATAATTTACATATTTTAATCCGGTATTTTATACTCAATGTGTTTTTAAAACACATTCCTTTCAATTCAATAACAAATCTTACTTGGTTGTGGTTTAACATAACATTCTCAAACTATCTGCAGTGGAAGACCAGCTGGTTTTTAAATTTTCAATCTGATGTACAAAGATATTTTCTGTAAAATAGACATGAATTGTCAGAAAAAGAAAGTAAAGCCGAAAGACAGAGAAGATACAAACTCCATTTTGATCATTAGACTCAACAGACATAAAATTACACTATCAAGCTATTTTCAACTACATTGAAAGCTTCTAAGAGGTCTCAGTTTTTCAATCTATCTGGTCACAAACTGCTCCCTATCAGGCTATTTAGCGGTACCCATCTGTAGATCACACTAAGAGCCACATTGGTTTAAGTCGTTTTCTTATTCCTTTTTTTATTGCATTGGCCATATTTAGAATGGTATCACCTCCTTTCCCTAACACTGAGCTCTTAGATCTTTGTAATCGGGAAAGCCCATTCTGTGTGGTTGAAACTTATTTCCAATATTTTTAAACATAAAATTATTTTTAATCATCCTATCCTTCAATTTCTGAAATACTTATATTAAATTACCTGTCAAAAGTCAAGATATAAAAAGATCACTAAGAAAATGTTTCATTTGGGGCTGGCGGGGTGGTGCAGTGGGTTAATGCCCTGGATGCAGCGCCAGCATCCCATATGGATGCCAGTTCTAGTCCCAGCTGCTCCTCTTCATATCCAGCTCTCTGCTGTGGCCTGGGAAAGCAGTAGAAGATGGCCCAACTCCTTGGGCCCCTGCACCCACGTGGGAGACCTGGAAGAAGCTCCTGGTCCCTGGCTCCTGACTTCAGATCAGTGCAGCTCCAGCCGTTGCAGCCATGTGGGGAATGAACCAGTGGATAGAAGACCTCTCTGTCTCTACCTCTCTCTGTAACTCTTTCAAATAAATAAAATAAGTCTTTAAAAAAAGACAAAAATATCTCATTTTCAGAAGGAGATTATTCTCACTTATACACGTTTCTGTTCTCCCACTGAGAATTCTACTAAGTCCTATTTTCTTGGCATTAGGAAATAATGAAGATACATGTCTGGGCCACAATACGTTCACACAGACAACCGCATGACTCTCTGTATGCTGTTATTTTTGGAGGTTATTTTCAGAAGAGAAGGATTGGGAGAAGAAAGACCGTGTATTTTATGTTTCTCGCTTTCTCTCTCTACCCCCTACACCCACACATACTTGCGCACACAATCAAGACACTTATTATAATGGCTTAGTGGTCCCATGAAGTGTTTGGCTTTGTAACCAGACATACTTAATTCAAGTCCTAAATAAAGTGCCACTCACTAAGCATGAAATCTTGGGAAAGTCACTCAAGCTTCTAGGTCCAGGTTTTACAATAGCTTCTCCATAAATGTTTTTTTAATGGTGTTGAAAAGTAGTATAGTAGAAGCTGAGTAAAGAGCACCATACTTTTTCATTTGTATCAGTTTCATAGGGTTGGGATTGTGTGTGTGTGTGTATGTGTGTGTAACTTACAAATTATTATATTGTAGATATGCATCATACATCACTATTCTGTAGAAAATTGGTACTCACAACACATGTGCTTTTAAGCAATTGATTCATAACAACCATATTTCTGGAGCAAACCATTATTTCTATTCAATCACCATTTTATAATTGTTCACAGGTTCAAATACAACATAAGGCACTGATTCTACCAAAAAAACACAATCACAAGAGAAATTTCTAAATATACTGTTATTCCATTAATTCTTCTCTCAATAAAAAGAGATACAGTCTATAAAGTGTCACACAAACCATGACGGACAATTTTAGCAGAGTTTTGCTACACAAAAGAAGGTGCCGTGATTTTTTTTATCCCATAAGTGGAATGGGAACCCTCTAGCAGAGAGGCCATGAAGCATCATGGAAAGGACCCAGAATCTGAGATCAGAGGCCATGGGGAGACCACCCTGGACTGCCAATATTCAGCTACATTTCTAAGAAGTTTTCCTTCATTTAAGAAAATAACAGGGGCCAGTGCCGTGGCACACTAGGTTAATCCTCCGCCTGCAGCGCCAGCATCCCATATGGGTGCCAGTTCTAGTCCCGGTTGCTCCTCTTCCAGTCCAGCTCTCTGCTGTGGCCAGGGAGGGCAGTGGAGGATGGCCCGAGTGCTTGGGCTCCCACGTGGGAGACCAGGAGGAAGCACCTGGCTCCTGTCTTCGGATCAGCGTAGCTCCGGCCATAGTGACCATTTGGGGAGTGAACCAACAGAAGGAAGACTTTTCTCTCCCTCTCTCTCTCTCTCACTGTCTGTAACTCTACCTGTCAAATAAAAAAAAAATACATAACTCCAATGGGATATCCTGACAAATACATGATATAATATAAAGGAAAAACATTTTTGTAAGCTTATGAATTTTCAAATGTTTTTAAAGACGATGATGATGAATAAAAATAATACTCCACTTCATTTTAACTTACAAATCTTCCATGAGAGCAGAAACATGAAGAGTACTGTTTAAAAGAGTAACAAGGCCGGTGCCGCGGCTCAACAGGCTAATCCTCTGCCTTGCGGCGCCGGCACACCAGGTTCTAGTCCCGGTTGGGGCGCCGGATTCTGTCCCGGTTGCCCCTCTTCCAGGCCAGCTCTCTGCTGTGGCCAGGGAGTGCAGTGGAG